AGCTAGCTTAAATGCCACCCGATAAGGTGGCTTTCAACTTAGTATATAAGAAAAATGCTCTCTACTGATATACGTAAACTTTTATAATTTAACATATATCATGGTGAACAAAATTTCTGCCAATAAATTTTTCGATAGTTGTTTAAACCAGTAACTGAAGAGATAATAAAGTATACTACTTTTTAAATCCTTTCGCTCCGAGCAAGGCGATAATGCCGCTACGACGCAAGGGTCTTACTGAGAGGGGAAAAGCAATGAGGAGACTTTACTGAGAAGGACAATAAACGAATAATAAAGACAGAAGATGCGAGCTAGTTGCCAATCTAATATTTCGTCAAAAATCTCGAGATATATATCCAGGGCAGCAGACCAGATATGGCGGCAATATTCAATGCTCGGACGAAGGGTAGATTTATAAACGTGCAAGATGGATTCTGACGTGAAAATATCGTCTGGAACGACCCAGTTAACAAACATTCCTGACAACAGACCTAGCAATTAATTCTATATAATTGGTCCACCTCATATCAGTGGAAGGCAGGAAAACAAATAGCGTTACCTTCCAGAATACCTGGTCGACGTCTGACCAGTATTATATACTATATATATTATTTCCAGTTTACTAATACACACACACACACACACACACATATATATATATATATATATATATATATATATATATATATATATATATATATATATATATATATATACATGAATTATTCCCACAAAAAATAATGCAAAGGTTAATGATTTAAATGGCGAGACATCCATCATCGCAAACAATTCAAATAATATACAAAACCTCCGCATCCGTTATGAATGAAATGATCCTTGTTTATATAAATTTCTGCCGTATTAGTTCTTATTTTACTACAAGCTTTCGTCTGTTCCTAATGGCTCGGGAATGCCCACGTTAAAAAGGCCTTGTGCCACATGATACCCTCGTGGGGGGGTGACTGAATATCGCCAGTCTACTCAGTACGTTCTGAGCGACTGTTCGGTTCAACTCTCTTCCTACGGACGGGAGGAACCCGAAGGAGGCTACGCCGAAGGGCGGAGTCTCCTTCGGGGAGGTAAAACCGGCCCAGAACCCGTTTATACGGGTTCAAAAGGGCATATTTTTGGCCGTGCCCACGGGGTCGGAATGCCCACGTTAAAAAGGCCTTGTGCCACATGACACCCTCGTGATGGTGGTGACTCAATATCGTCAACCAGCAAAATCCCCTCTGCATGTCAGAAGACATTGGCCATTACCTTTCCTCTTGAACGACCACATTTTGCTTTGACTGGTCCACTCCCACTCCTGGTCCTCTACTAATTTGATTGAATTTTGTCCTCGGGATTGTACTAGTAAAGCCATGTTTCATCCCCTGTCACAATACTCTGCAGAAAAGCTTCCCGATCCCACTTGTTCAAAATTTCCATTGAAAGATCTGCCCTTGTTTGCTGCTGATTTGGGCGTAACAGCTTAGGGACCCGTCGACCAAACTTAGCCCCAAACTCTCAACCAGAATTGTGTGTGCAGAACCCACGGAGATATTGAATGTCTCTGTTACTGATTCAGTGCTTATTTGTCTATCCTTTTCAGTCCTGTCACGAACAGCATCAATGTTTTCTTCACAAACTGACGTTGATGGCCTGTCACTGCGGGCTTCATCTTCAATTTTGTTTCTTCCACTTCTGAACCAACTTATCCATTTGTAGGCTGTTGATTTCTTTTGGGGTATTGACATCATAAACTTGTTCCAGAGCGTCAGTGATTTGTCTATTCTCGTAACCGAGTTTCACCATGAATTTTAATTTTTGTCCTGGCCTCAATTTTGGTGGAATCCATTTTGCTTAAATGGTGACTGTCTTCCATCTGGAAGCGATGCCTTATTACCTGCAATTAAAGATTCATGTTTGAACACGTTGTCTCAAGAATCTTCAGGAACAATGAAATCAAAATCCTTCCATATGATGTTTAGTTGTGGAGTTTTTCCACGAACTTTTTGGGGCACCATCGTAGAGACGTTATCTTCGAAACATTGTTAATGCAATATTCACACGCAAAAAATAGAATTATTCATGCAATCCAAAATATGCTTCATCAAAATGGTCGATAAGCCGTAAAAAAAAAAACAATCGTTAAAAAGATATCAAGAGTGAAAGCTGAAGTGATATTAATTCAGGTGCAGCATGTGTTGGGCAAGTATACGGGGCGAGGCCCATTCATCTCCCACTCAACTCGGAGCCAATGTCATTCAGCTTGAAGGCTCACCTTGGTTACAGGCGGTGGTCTTTTATACTAAAAATGTTCAGTTGCATTGAAGTCAAAATCCTTCCAGATGATTTTTATTTATAGAATTTTTCCACGAATTTTTTGAAACACTCTCGTACATAATGAAATGTGAATATGATACTAGTTTGTAAATGCCCTATTTCTAATTTGATTTTATTATATCTGTTAAACGCAGTAATTTAATTTGTGTCTTTCTGTCTTGTGTTCTTTCAGGTTACCCTTACTGATTCAAGGCTGGCGTCCCTAAATTCAAGTAGTGCTATTTTGGGCGAATCGTCCACCGGAAACTCTACAGCAATGAAAAACTCAAGCATCAACTTGGCGACTGGTCTCATCCCGGGCAGGATGAAATTTAACCAGCGTCTCTTCATTCTCTTTGGCGCGACATTCTTCTCGTTCGCTTTCTTCCTCCTCTTCGACACAGGAATGCCCTGGCCGCAGGTACATACTAGCCGAACACGGATGCTAGCCGTGAAATTGTGGCAACACCAGTTACAAAGTCGCCAGTCATCGTGGAAGGGAGACTGTCAAGCCTCTCCGTCCACAGACCTCGTTGTCACCGCCAACTTCTCCACGTTCGACATGGCGCCGAAGCTTGTCTACGAAGTACTCGCCGACGGCTCGTATCCACTCCCTAACGCTAACAAGGCAATCTCCCCGATTTCTTCCTCATCTTCCTCGTTTTTCTCGTCGTCGTCTTCGTTGATTCTCGAGAAAGGAGCGGCGACGACGTCTACGGAACAGGCTGAAATGATAGTAGCTGCAGCTGAGGCAGCATCATCAAGGAACGGTGCAAGGCCGACAAAAAAAGAGGACCCTTTTACAGTGATACTGGTGCCCCATTCGCATAACGACCCAGGCTGGTTGAAAACAGTTGACGAATATTATGCCGATCAGACGAAACACATTTTAGACAACATGGTGCGCAAACTAACAACTTATCCGAACATGACCTTCGTTTGGGCCGAAACGATTTACTTGGCTATGTGGTGGAATGACCAAGAAGATGCCGTCAAGGCTCAGGTTCGACGATTAATACGTCGTGGCCAGCTAGAGATTGTTTTGGGCAGCTGGGTAATGCCGGACGAAGCTACAACACATTATTACGCAATCGTTGACCAACTGATCGAAGGTCATCGATGGGTGATGGACAACTTACACATTTTGCCAAAGAACAGCTGGTCCATAGATCCCTTTGGTCATTCGGGCACCATGCCCTACCTGTGGAAAGAAGCTGGTCTGCAGAACATGGTCATTCAGAGAATCCATGGAGCGGTCAAAAACCATCTAGCCAAACACAAGGGCTTAGAATTCATGTGGCGCCAATACTGGGACGACCGCGGAGACACGGATATATTGTGTCACGTGATGCCCTACATGCTTTATAGTATTAAGTTCACTTGCGGTCCGGACCGCTTCCTCTGTCTCCTGTACGACTTCCGCAACATTCCTGGCGAGCAACGCGAGGGAAAATCGCGCGACATTAGTGTGAAGAACATCGAAGTGCAGGCCGAGTACTTGTACAAGGAGTACCGAAAGAAGAACTTCCTCTACAAGTACAACGCCATCCTAGTTCCACTGGGTGACGATTTCCGATTCGACAAGGAGATCGAATGGGACCAACAGTACAAGAATTACGCTATGCTTTTTCAGTACATGAACTCTCGAAAAGACTGGAATATTCATCTTAAATTTGGCACGCCCCAGGACTATTTTGAAATTATCCGAAAACGCCGCAGGCGAAACCCAAACGTTTCCAAAGAGAAAAACTCTATACCGGTCCTAAGCGGAGATTTTTTCCCATATTCAGACCAAAGCAACGCCTACTGGACGGGCTATTACACAACCCGGCCTTTTGACAAGAGATTTAGCCGAGACATTGAATCGGCACTAAGAGCGGCTGACATTTTGTATTTCCTGGCTTGTTCTTATTCCAAAATGTGGGATAAACCGTATGAAAAGGCTTTCGAAACGGCAGGCATGCTAAAAAGAGCGAGGCGGTATCTGGGACTTTTCCAGCATCATGACGCAATAACAGGAACCGCTAAGGAATACGTAGTCATGGATTACGAAGAAAAACTAGCTATCGCTTACAATATTACGCAGACGGTCATAGGTAACGCTCTCGAAGTACTCCTTTATCGCAGCAAATCGGGACTCGCGAATTTTTTCATTCCAGAAACTGTGCGCACCTCCCCGACAAGCTCTGCTAGTAGACGGGTCTTGCAGCTGGAGAAGACCGGCCTTCAACTGGTGATTTTTAATCCGCTTGTCCAGCAGCGGCAGGACGTCGTCTCTGTTTTGGTAACGACCAACAAAATCGAGGTCCTTGACGAGAAACAGAAGGTGATTCCCAGTCAGATAATCCCTGTCTGGGAAGATGACATCACTGTCTCGCGTAGTGTCTTTGAGTTGGTCTTTCTGATAAACATCGAACCGCTAACGACAGTAGTGTACACACTGCGCAAGCCTGTGGGAGAAATGAAAAATACATACACTTCGACGATCGGGATCGTAAACAGTAAACTTCTTGTCGTTCCCCCAGACACGGGGTTTCTTGAGGATAAACCATGGGACGAAAACCCTAAGCCAATTGTGATTGAAAATAGCCTATTGAAAGCATCGTTTTCCGGCGCGAGGGGTCTTCTCGAGTCGGTTTTCGATAAAAACACTGGCAACACCACTAAAGTTAATATTGATTTCCAAGCTTACCTTTCCCAAGGAAGTGGAGCTTATCTCTTCCTTCCGAATGGGCGCGCACGTTCCATCACGGGTAAAAGTCAAATCACGCGAGTAGTTCAGGGTCCGCTTGTATCTGAGGTGCAGGTCCTGCATCAGTTTTTCCAGCATCGGGTCAGGCTCTACGATGTGCCGGGAATCCAGCAGACAGCGTTGCACATCGACAACAAGCTTAACATCAAAGGCTTGCGAGATCGGGAAGTAATTATGAAGTTGAAAACGGACATCAAGAATGAAAACGAGACGTTCTTCACCGACCAGAATGGCTTTCAGATGATTGGACGGCGGAACCAGCACCGGCTTCGGCTGGAAGCTAATTATTACCCAATCACCACAATGGTCTTGTTGGAGGACGATAACCGTCGTCTCACCTTGCACGCCGACCACTCGCACGGGGTGGCCGGCCTGGAGCAAGGTAGCGTAGAGATCATGCTTGACCGTCAGCTGAGTTACGACGATGAAAGGGGACTGGGTGAGGGTGTAGAGGACATTAAACCTGTTCATTCAAGGTACGTTCTCCAAATTGAGTACAGGGGCTCTGACGATGTGGGTTCGCCAGGAGAAGGTCCAAGCAAAACCGATACTGTACAGGAAGGGTCGGAAGTCGAAAAAAATACACTGATAAGTAACATGATTAAGAACACCGGTGAGAATAACAAAATCGTCCAAAACGGCCCAAAACCACTTGCTCCCTCTTCAGCCGAAAATGATCATACAAATAAAATATCAAATCGGCAGTCTTCTTCCAAACATCAAGAAAGACAACTCCGTTTTACGTTCCCATCGCTTCTTGGAGTCCATCTTAACAACTATTTACAGCGCCCTCTTGTGGTTTATTTTACAAATATGGATGCCGATTTTCTTGTACCAAAGTTTCGGCCTGTTGAAGGGCCCCTGCCTTGCGATGTCAGTCTGGTTTCCCTTCGCGTTCTTGTCAATTCTGATCTTATGCGAAACGGGACGTCGTTGATACTTCACCGGCAAGGGATGACGTGTGGCTTTCCTTCCTCAGAACCTGTATGCAATGTTGATTGGGGCAAGGTCTCTGTAAGTTCCTTGTTCGGTAAGATACAACTGAAAGATTTTAGAAGGACATCTTTGTCACATCTGCATTCTCTAGAAACTTTAAGTCCTAAGTCTGTTTTAAAACTGAAGCCGATGGAACTTGCTTCGTATATCTTAAAAACATGAAAATTATTTAACAAAAAGAGAGAAAACGCAGAAGGAAAGCAAGAATTAAAATATATGGAATTAAAAGGGGAAGTAAACAAAAATCTACATGCAATTTTTTTTTTTTTTTTTTTTTTTTTTTTTGAAAAACGTCAGAATGTTGGTAAAGATTTTAAAAAAATGCCAGAGGTGAAATACTGATAGAAAAAAAATTAAATGAAATAACCAAAAATTCAAACAGAAGACTGTAACTGGTCAACATTGGACATATAAAAAGAAATTGAATTGAAATCAACAAAAAAAAAAAAAAAAAAAAAAATTTACGTGGGTCTAAGTATTCCACTCACAGACACGCATACACACATACATATATATATATATATATATATATATATATATATATATATATATATATATATAAATCTACGAACATAAAATCAGGACAAATTCTTGTGCACATTTACGTGCACAAATTGCAGAAAAAAAATGGCTGAACGTATTATATGCACACCAATGGCGATTTTAAAACCGAGTTTTAAAATAAATATGGAAAAAAAAACTCTACATATAGGGTAAAAGAATCTTTTACCATTTTTAAAACAAAAAATTATTTTATTTTATTTTATTTCTGGTACTCGGCGTTACATCACGGGATTCTGGAGGTGACATAAATTTAAGCCAGAAGGTCGAGAAAAAGGGACATAACTCTTGCTGTTTAATTTTTTTTTTTTTTGTGGCTGGGGAATTGTAAGCTGTTGCATTATTGATTATTGGGGTTAGTGGCGTGTGTGGATGTGTGCGTGAGACTTTATATAATGCGGCATTTAGAGAGAGAGAAAAAAAGAAAGAAAGAAAAACCGTATTTGTCAAAAATTAAAAAAAAATATTAAAAAAAGAATTAAAATGTTATTACCGCCTGTAAAGAAAAAAAAAATTATATATATATATATATACACACACAACTACTCTAAGCGCCCTCTCTTACCTGCTTGAGATATAAAAAGATTAAAAAAGAAATGTATGAAAAAAAAAAATCAAAAAAGAATGAAGAACTTTCTGGCAAGAATCCAACAATAACAGAATATAAAATAAAAGTCAGAAAAATGAATATGAAAGAACAATAAAAATGAGTGAAAAAAAAAAAAGGATCACAACAAAAACAAACAAAAAATATCAATGGGGAGCTTTTTTATAAGTAAAAGATGTACAAAATTTCCGGTTTTTATATTTTTTTATTTATATAATATTTGGTAATTATTATGATTTTTTCAGACGAGTATCCTCATCTTTGTTGTTTTGATCACAAATGTCTTACTATAGGAATGCATTGCAAATAGCTTACAAGGGAAATGGATTGCAAATGAGTTACTATAAAAATGCATTATTTCATGAATTATTCAGACTAGTATCCTCATCTTTATTGTTTTGAACACAAATGTCTTACTATAGGAATGCATTGCAAATAGCTTGAATTGCAAATGAGTTACTATAAAAATGCATTATTTCATGAATTATTCAGACTATGATCCTCGTCATTGTTCTTTTCACCAGAAATTTCTTACTATAGGAATACATTACAAATAGCTTACATGTGAAATGGATTACTAATGTTATTATAAGAATGTATTATTCCATCACTTATACAGTCTAGTATCCTCATCTTTGTTGTTTTGATCCATAGATTTTGTTTAATTGATTGTCTGGTATCCTACAGGTACATGTTCCATCGAATAATGTATAAAATGTATACATCCTGTCATTTAAAAAGTTCGCCAGATGCCGTTCAATATCTGGAATATGACAGAAATTTTATTTATAATAAAGAAAAATGAGGATACTCGTTAGAAATGTTTGTCTCTTACTGACACCTGAAAACTTCAACATGAAAATATTTCAGTATTACGCCCCCCGCCTCATCACCCATTTTGAAAAGATCAGTTAAAATAATTGTTCTGTAGATATAAAATTGTTTTTGTTTTCTTTGTAAACGTGGACCCTCATTATTTGTCTATATTTCTGACATGAGGTATTATGTACCGAATTTACATTATTCGGACTACTGTCCTCATCTTTCTTGCCATATTTATCACAATGTTTCGGCCGTTGTCGCTCCGGCCTTCTTCAGGAAAGAAATATAAAGGAGAGACAGTCCGCCCCCTTAAGGTAAGGCTTCAAGAACACCAGAAAGCTATAACACGAAGGGAAGGGAAAAAAATCAGGCGCGGTAGACCACATATATAGAGAAAAGTGAGATCACCGCCCTCTGTGGGATTAGTTAGCGATCATAGACAAAGAACACCATTGGAAAATTCGTAAACTTAAGGAATCAGCCTATATGCTAGACCATAAAAATCTCCTGACCCGACCAAGCAAAGAAATGAATTCAATATAGGAACCAGTAATAAGGAGTGCCAGAGAAAAGCGATAATAAAAAAATTGCAATATGAGCTCTGGTAAAAACATGAAGATAACAGCAAAAATCGCAATATGAGTATTGTTAAAAAAATGAGCGCTGATGACATTAGGTTTATAATACCCAGTTATTCACACATAGATGTCGTCATGGCATAGTGGATAAAGGCGTTAGTTAGATCCAGTGACAGGACCCAAAAGAGGGTGAGGTCAATACTAGGTTAAGACGGTGGAGGACTTGGAGAGGGGAATTAACAGGAGAGAACTGACATCCATTAGGCATGGCACGTGCAACTAGAAGTCTTCCTCAGCGATCCAAGTAAATTCCAAGCACCTGAAGAAGGGCGGAGCGTACAATGGCCGAAACGTTGAGATAAATATGGCAACAAAAATGAGGACAATAGTTCGAATAATGTAAGTAATGGACCTTCATTCCCGTAGAATGCGAAAAGGTTGATTTTTTTTTTCTCTTGACACCGTTTTTATTGTAACATCGTTTCCCTCCTCGGCCATATTTAAATAATTAAAATCCCTTATCTCATAAGTATAGCTAGACATTGGTTTAGTTTTGTTACAATCGTGATCATCGCTTTTTAAAACAAACATTGCCGGGGATCGAAGGTAGTTAAAATAATAGCGGTGTGAAGGGAAAACTGACATTTTTTTGCGGGGACAAATGCACCGTTTTTTGTTTTTTTTGTTTTTGCCCGAAGATGGTATCATAAGAAAAACTTATCGAATTATGTACACTATTTACATTATTCAGACTATTGTCTTCATCATTATCGCCATATTTATTACAACGTTTCGGCGGTTGTACGCTCCGGCCTTCTTCAGGTGGTTGGAATGTTGAACTGAACCCTTTATTATGTTCATTGGGGTAGACTGTTCTAGTTCCACGTACCATGTTTAATGGATGTCAGATGTCAGTTATCTCTTGTTAATTTCCCTCTCCAAGTTCTCCACTGCTTTAAATGGGTATTGAACTCACATTGTTTTGGGGCCTGTTACTGGATTTATTAACGTCTTTATCCACTGTGCCATGTGTCCGTGACATGGCGGTGGAGAACCTGGAGAGGGGAAATAACAGGAGATAACTGACATCCATTAGACATGGCACGCGGAACTGGAAAAGTCTACCACGGCGAGTGAAATAAAGGGTTCAATTCGACATTCCAACCACCTGAAGAAGGCCGGAGCGTACAACGGCCGAAACGTTATGATAAATATGGCTACAAAGATGAGGACAATAGTCCGAATAATGTAAATAATGTACATAATACCTCATCTCAGAAATATAGACAGATACTGAAAGGCCGAAACGTTGTAATAAATATGGCGACAAAGATGAGGACAATATTGCGAATAATGTAAATAATGTACATAATATCTCGTCTCAGAAATATAGACACAATATCGAATTATCCCTTAAATTCTGTTGAAAATATTTCCTTTTTCAGTTTTTCTATCACAGGTATTTGTACGGTTTCAGCTTATTCAATATACAACACACTTCTCAGTTATTATCCATTAGGGATCTGAGTTGGTATGTTTACAGTTTCCTGTTGTTCAAAAGGCACTCACTCTGAAAAAAATGGCGAGATACTTTCTGAGAGAGTACACAAAAGGCAATGTTCATCGCTTCTACATTCAGCAAGTAAGTTTTGCTTTGAACAAATCTAGAAACGTCTCCAATAATTTAATCGCAAGTTAAGTCGGTTGAAAGTTTGATTTTATTGATAAACATTGTAGCAACGTCATTTTGTTAGCTGGACAAACTCCGTTGATAACTTACTCACCATTTCCTTCTTGGCCTTGATATATCTTACGAGTGTCAAGCCTTCTTTCGGTTATAGTGTAATACACCTATTCTATTGTTAATAGACTTTCCCACCTATAATAAGTAGTAGCAGTTGCTCAGTGAGTCGGTGAGTCAGTCGACTGGCTGATCGGTTGAACTCTCTGCCTTCGGGCGGGGAGGAACCCGAACGAGGCTACGCCGAAGGGCGGATTCTCTTTCGGGGAGGTAAACCGACCCTGAACCCGTTTATACGTGTTCAATGGGCATATTTTTGGCCGAGCCCACGAGCTCGGAGATCCCACGTTAAAAAGGCCTTGTGCCACATGACGCCCTCGTGGGGGTGGTGACTGAATATCGTCGGTCAGTCAGTCGATGTGGGACACTAAGAGTATCAGCGACCGCAACTAGATTTCTCTGCGTCATTACCTATTATATCAAGTTCCTAACGTTTTGTACGTCGAACCTATTTTAGGACCGACTTAGTGAAAATACAAGCCTACACTGTGAAACTACAACACTTTCCTCATTATGTGTCCCAGAAATGTCAACTGTCTCTTTCTGGTTCGAATTAGAAGTGAACCCCTTATCCATGTTTTTTATGTAATTTCTCGTTGTTTGTATGTTCCGGCATCTCTCTGCGGAGGTGTTGCTTCTATTTCCTCTCTCGATAATTTATAGCAAAGATCTTTCTTACTTTTTATGTACCGTGTCCCTTCAGGACGTAGGCGATCATGGCTCTCTACTTAACCCTATCGCTTCTAGCTCTCAAAACTTTATCCCTTTGCTACTTCTACTAGTCCATGTTCTTTCATCTACTTAAGCCCGCCAGGTATGTCATGCGTTGCTTTCCCTTGCCTGTCTTTCCCTCTATTCGACCTGTGAGTATCAGATTCCCCGGGCCGTTCTTTCTCATTATGTGTCTCGGAAATTTCAGCTGCCTCTTCCTGATGTTAAGTATAAGCCCCCACTCCTTGTTTGCAACCTCTCTAAGACCTCATCGTTGCTAATAAGCTCAATCCATAATATCCTTAGCATCCTTCTGTAGAACCATACCTCTTTTGCCTCGAGTTCTTCTTCATCTTTGAGGAGACCATCCAATATTCGCTGCCGTAAAGAAAGACAGATGTCACGTAACAGCTCAGAACTTTTTTCTTTGTTACCAAAAAATCCCCCTGTCTCTCAATAATCTGCCTAGCTTTTGGAATGCGTACTTGGCCATCCTTATACATCTTCGGATCTCAGCATCGCTCTTACCGTCCTCCGTCAAAACACTTACGAACGAAGACACTCGTTGGAATCATTGATCACATGCTAATACCCAAGAACATTAAAAAATCATCTTCATGTCGTACTTGCAAATATCAGTTGGCGGAGCATACTGGAAAACTCGGATTTGGTTCTTGCCATTTTGACTAGTCTCCCATGTCTTGATGTTGTCTGACTATGTAAGTACGTTACCGACCCTGTACCCTTCTTCCGATGTCCTTTGAGACTGACAAACCCATATCTGAAAACTAAAAACTATTTGATATGCAAAAAGCTTACATACTTGACCGTCGCCACAGGTATGACGTGGCAACAGGTGTTATGATCGGCCCAACACTACCCCAGCCTGGCTAAGCGACCCGAACCCACCAAACGTCAGTTTTTGTCATTTTTTGTATTAGTATTTCAAGATATCTTTGTGTAATTTTGGTAAATATATATATATATATATATATATATATATATATATACTAAAATGCGATGTCAGTGTTTTCGTTTTTACTTCATTTAGACCACAATTTATCCATCGCACTCTGTATACACGAAAAAATGTACAATTTGGGCAGCAAACCTTCTTTCAAACATGTTCCGTTGAATATGGCAGACAAGGAAAATTTGATTCATCTTTTGAGTTTTTTTTTTTTTTTTTTTCATCTTTATCTCTCTATATTTCTGAGATGAGGCTAGGTTTGGTTTGGTTTGGTTTTTGTTTGACACTATATCAACCTCAATGGGTTATTTAATGCCGACACGATTTTTATTGCTGGTTTGGTTTGTTTTACGGCATACCAACCTCAATGGGTTATTTAACGACGACACGATTTTTATTGCTGGATTGGTTTGGTTTGTTTTACGGCATATCAACCTCAATGGGTTATTTAATGCCGACACGATTTTTATTGCTGGCAATGTTTTTCTTCAAAAATCTATTTCTGGGAATATTTGTGCTTGAATAAATCTATATCTGGTCATATTTTTTCAAAGAATATATAGCTGTTTGTATTGCTGCTAGTTTTTTAAAAGTATTGCTGATAATAATTTTTCCTTCAAAAATTATTGCTGGTAATAATTTTTTTATTACAAAGTATTTCTGGTATTAAAACCTGTTTTTACACAAGTTTAGTTATTAACTATTTTCCCATTGCTAGGACCCTAACAGGTGCTACCACCCCGGCTCAGGGTGGATCTGGGAACACCAGCAATTATGAGGTGGTTTCATACTCCTCAAAACCTCCTGTTCAGAGGCCTTGCTGTTGGACGTAATTTAGAGTCTTACCCAGGATGTGGATGTAGTTTATCGTCATGCCCAGGACGACTGAGATGAGGTATTATGTACAGTTTTTACATTGTTCGCACTATCGTCCTCATCTTTGTCGCCATATTTATTATAACGTTTCGGCTGTTGTACGCTCCTGCCTTCTTCAGGTGGTTGGAATGTCGAACTGAACCCTTTATTTCGCTCACTGGGGTAGACTGTTCTAGTTCCACGTGCCACGTTTAATGGATGTTAGTTATCAGTTATCTCCTGTTAATTCCCCTCTCCAAGTTCTCCGCCGCCTTAACCAAGTATTGAACTCACACTATTTGGCTCCTGTCTCTGGATCTAACTAACGCCTTTATCCACTGTGTCATCTTTCTTCTTTTGGGTGCTGCGTCTTTTCAGGACGTACACGATAATGGCGCTTCTCATCTTGTTCCTTTGTAGCTATTAATATTTTTTTCTATTTGTTATTTCCCACAAACCTTGTTCTGCAGCCATTTACTCAAGCCTCTTGTCTGGAGGCTGTGATTGGAGCCAATGACGATTTATTGAATAAATTTACTCTTTAGTATTTCAAGATATCTTGGTGTAATTTTGGTAAACATATCTGTTAAAATGAGATATTTGTGTTACTTTCATTTTTATGGCATTAGACGACAATTTTTTCCATCGTATCCTGTATATTGGAACCTGTGAACCACACGATATATTGCGTCTGGAATTATAAGTATTTCTTCGAGATTGTCTAATCTAAATTTATTCTGAATATTTTGAATTCCAGGAATTAACGTGACGTAATAGAATAGACGTTGCTATGAAAAGCGATTGACATTAAGATAGAATAAATATTAGTCAAAAGTTTAATCACTGGTGGCGTTGATTTATTTGATGATAATAATAAAAAATACAAGATTATAATTACTTCGGGTTGACAATCCCATATCCGAACATCTGAAAACGGAAAACCTCTGAAAACCGAATATTTTTACCGTGGAATTTGGCGTGCGAGAAGCTTACCTTCTTAACCCGCACCACTTAGGTATGGCGTAGCAATACGTGTTATAATCGGCCAGATTTCTCCCACTACTCCACCAGACTGGCTGAGCTACCCGAGCCCGCCAAACATCGGTTGTCGTCAAGCGCTCATATTGGGTAAGACTTGAATGTGCTGTTCGCCTATATATTTTTTTCTTTTCGTTAACTTTGTAATTTTTATACATTGAAAATGTTAAAAGGAACTGCAGATATCCTTGTGGGTAACAGTGAGAAAAAAAGAAAAAGAAGCAACTCTCGTTATCAATAATACACAACGTAGAGCTTTTGTAGAAGCTTGATCACGATGTTTCCGTGCAGCATCTTACTGAAGAATATGGTATCAAAACCGCCATTGTCTATGATTTAAAGAAACAGAAAGACAAGTTACTTAAATTCTATACTGAAAGTGATGACCATAGACTAATGAACAATAAGAAAACCCGACATACGGCAAAAAATAAAGATCTTGACCATGTACTAATTGAATAGATTCAACAACGAACACGTGAACGTATGCCACTAACTGGTTTGTTGGTCATGAAACAAGCTGGTATATACCATGAAGAACTTAACATTAAAGGCGCGTGTCAATAAACAGAAGGTTATTTCAGAAATTTAAGAAACGAATGAGAGGCAATGAAAGCGCCATATATATTTTAAGATTGTGTATCTGTATAATAATAATAATAATAATAATAATAATAATAATGAAAATCACCCTGAACATAGAAGGTCATGAAGTCAACATTTTAGGTAATTTACAATTTTATTGACAGAAACACCGTGTTTCATTCCCTTTGTCGTGTTGATTACCAGTACAAACTGTTTTACTCTAAGACAAGTGACGCTCATACACAGATTCCGTCATCTATTGACTGATTTTGGAATTCTTTCTTCTTCTATGTGCTGTGTCCGTTAAGGACGTTGGCGATCATGACTCTCCACAATTTCCTGAATTTATAGCTCTCTTCATAAAAATTATTCTAAACCCCATTCTGCCATACATTTATTGACGTTCATTCTTCTTCTCCCATGTGCCGTAACCCTTTAGAACCATGGCGATTATGCCTCTCCACACTTTCCTGTCCTTTGTAGCTATTATAATAAAAGTGTGTCTTTTTGTGATCTCTTCTAAACCGTGTTTTGCCATCCATTAACTCAACTTTTGCTACGTCATTTATGCATTGTTTATTCAACATCTCTGTAAATTTTCAATCTGCCCTGTGAGTATCAAATTTTCTGGGAAAGTCATTTTCATAAACCATAGATTTACGGTTTTGTAAACGATAGAAAGTTTATGTTCATTTTTACTTAGTTTTCGTATACAACTAGCTGGGATACCCTTTTATGCACGGAAAATCTCTTAATCATAGTGCATTATTGACAATTCATAGATATTTTCCAGCCGTTCACCATCCATTTATTAACGTTCATTCTTCATCACCTATGTGTCGGGTCCTATCAGGAAATAATTGTCGAACATATTTTCTTCACTATTTCCTCTGCTTCGTAGCTCTTAATATATGTTGTAATTTTGGCTATTTCTGAAAATCACCGTTCCCGAAATACATTTATTGACGCTCATTCTTCTTCACCTATGTTTCGCGTCCTATCAGGATTATGGCTCTTCACTATTTCCTCTTCTTTGTAGCTCTTAATGTGTGCAGTCTTTTGGCTATCTCTCCTAACGATCGTTACACCATCCATTTACTGGCGTTCATTCTTTTTCACTTATGTGCCTGGAAGGTAATTAGTCATTTTTTCACTCCCCACCCCAAATGTCTACTTTCGTTGGGTAATGTATTTCTTATTATCAGTTGTTGGTAAAAAAATTTTTAAATCAGCCAATTTGTTTTATATAACCGACGATCTTGTTTCTGAAGAAGTGTCGACCGAAAGGTCCCTAAAATCTTAATCTTAAACGTGATACTTTTGTATTTATTTTAATATTATGTTCCTTGTCCTTAAAATTATATATATATATATATATATATATATATATATATATATGGGAGAAGACGTCAATGTACTTTTTGACGTTAAAATGGCTTTCAAAAACGACTCAAAGGGATATTTTAAGGTGTTTATATAAAAACCGGTACATACATGACATATTTATATTTTACAAACAGTATCTGAAACAAATATTTATATAATACTATTTGATGATATACTGTCGAAAATGAAACATTTTACTGTAAATTTCATTTGCAGTTCGATTTTCAAACTGTGGGATCAGATCAAAAAAAAAACATTTTTGAAAAACATAGAACAAAATTGAAATTTAAATTGAAAAAATCCATCGCCATGGCTCTGTATCATGCCTTCTTAATCGTTATATTTATATCTTATCTCACAAACTTTCCACTTTGATATCCCCCTCTATCACTTGGGTCCTTTTAATGGCATTAATATTCGTTTTTTTAAACTTTAAAAAAAATCATGCAGTCGGAACTGTTTATTGAGTTTTATGTTGAAATTTAGGAAATTGAATAAATATGCCCAAGATGCTTGTTTATTCAAATACATACATAGCCAGTAATATTGTACAAACATATATATATATATATATATATATATATATATATATATATATATATATCATAAATACATTGTTGGACGATTTAAATTTTACTGTAACATAAGTTCCAAAAATTTTTATTTGCATTTCGATCAAGCAAGACAAGTGGATCAGATCAAAAAACTTGCAAAGACATGTTTTCAAAAACGTTGTCTATTTTACGGAACAATGTAAATATTTAAACCCTTTGAAACCATTGAAAAAATAGTCGTTGCACGCACATGGCTCTGTAAAAGCATATTTGCCTTTGTTCTCTCTCTTTCTCTTCTCTCTCTTTGGTTTCTTCTCTCTCTGAGACCTTCCAGCAGATTTCTCTCAATAATTCCTTCTCTCTCTTTCTTCAACTCTCTTTTGCTTAGAATACCTCTTTCCTTCCTCTATCCAAAATTTCATTAACTAAATAAAACACCTCTCCCTTTTTAGTTCTCTCTACTTTATCTCTACATTCTGGTTTTCGCTTTCTCAAACAATTTATGCAGTCTACATTGGCGTGCGTGTCTAAATTGAAATTTAGGAAAGAGATTAAGATATATGTCTTCATTTCTCACTATGTTCAAAGGATCCTTATCAGATAAGCCAGTAATAATTGAGTTAATATATATATATATATGTGTGTGTGTGTGTGTGTGTGTGTGTGTGTGTGTATACGGCACTCAGATTTAATCTCAGTGTCTGCTTTTACATTTATATTTATATATATACTCGAGCCGAGGTACCTGGCGTTACCCAGGAGTACATGGTTGCAATTGTATACCTGCACCCTTCTCCATCTAGAAATGAATACCTGCATCCACGCTTACATGCATCATTCGTTGGTATACTAAGTTACTTCCTCACCTCATCTATTTTACGGTATGCCCTTCGCAAGTGTTTGTTTGTTCTTAATAAAGAAATTCCATCGATAAAAGCTTCTTGTGTGGTCGTTGCTCGAGGTAAATTGTCTCAATGTTTCAAATTGGATGAAAGTGGATTTGTTCTTGTTGTCTATCGTCTTAAACCACTCTATGACGGCTTTGGTGTTCTTCCACTGGTTGAGACCTATTACCAGGCAGATTTAATATAATAACAATAATAATTTTGTAATTAAAAATTATAGCAATCTTCAACTACCATTTTTTACACAGAATACCTATTATCAGGATTTATACCAAAATAAATTAATACATATAACAAAATAAAATAAAACACCAACAACCACCTTTTAGTTCAAGTTACTACCACCACTATAACTACATTCATGGTTTTATCTTAAATTTTTCACCACAACCGTTACTAATCATTTCTAACCAATTTACAATTTCTACCAATTTACAATAACTATTAGCTAATTATATCATTGTCTCCAATGATCCTTGAAACATTACTATCACATCATAAAATATAGACCCGTTATTAAATTGAACACAACCCTATCACCCAGCACATTGAATATTAAACATCACCATATAAATTAACCAATAAGGATTACAAATTTCTACCTGTTACATATACACAGTCATCAAAAACAAACAAATAACCAGCTTTAAATATAACAAATAAACCACCATTATTTTTTTTTTAAAATTTAAAAATAAATATAAATAATAATAATTTTACCTATCATAATTTTACACAAACCCCACCACACGTATATACACACATGCGAGGAAATATTTTTCAGCGGAAAAATACATAATATGACATGTATACATTCACGAGACATTAACGAGACATTTCCGCCACACTTCCAATGTTTAAATTTCAACATTTCAACATACAAATGCGTATGTATAGATATAACACCACCCGTATACAGACATATGTCATATCCGAAACTGCCCACATATGTTTATATATGTATGAGTCCCGACGGACGACCAAGTATGTATATGTGTCTGCATACATCGATGTTTGCGTTAGTACGATGACAAAACGACGAAGTTTCCCCCCACCACTTCCACAATAACACCAATACACGCAATCTACATAAACCCAAATTTTTTAAAACATTAATCAGTTTGTCTGACGATCGCTAAAGCGTGAAACCCAGGGTCACAAACTCACATCTATCCAACCAAATATGTTAGCTCTATCTATGATATTGAGCGTTTTATAATAAGTATATATATATATAATATATAAATAATTATACATATATATATTTATTTATATTTATACACTTTTACACACACACACACACACACACACACACACACACACACACACATATATATATATATATATATATATATGTAATAGGAGTAGGTAGGCTTTCCCAGTCAACACTCCTCCCCCTTCTCTTGGACATGAGTAGAGGCTTACGCCTTGTTTCTTGTTTAGGAAGGGGTTCCCGGTACTCTCTCTCTCTCTCTCTCTCTCTCTCTCTCACTCACACTCACTGGCCTCTGTATCTCCAGTTGCATTGATCTACCCACTACTCTTCTCCTCATCCTTTCTTCTATCACTCCTATTTGATCTTGCTCCAAATTTTCTCTAACCCTTTGCGTCCTAGTGGCTTTCCGCCTTGCTTGGGGTGAAACGCTTAAAAAAATATATGTATGTGTGTGCGTGTGTGCAATTTATTCGAAAATTTAACATAAATATGTTATAAAATCACGGCAAAAATAGCTATTTTGTTTCAACACATCTTGTGTTTTATCAAGTGATGGTGTGCAGTGTAATAAACACAAACATACACACGAACATACATATATATTTATGTACACACACACACACACACATATATATACATTAGGGTAGGTCGATTTTGGAACTGTAAAAAGAATAACTCGAGGAAAGTTGCAAAATAACGTCAAAAATTACCACCAAAAATATTTTTCTTTAAAACTTCGTATTTATTTGAGCAATCGAACTTAAAGACAAAATAAATTGCGATTTTTATCATCATAACGGTGTCACCGGAGACATGTGTATGTTAAATTAAAACCGGGTCTTAATGAAAAGAAAAGAAAGAAAATAACGCTTAATAATGGATATTTTTGAGTTTATTATCTATTCTCTTATTAAATTAAATGAAATTACTACAAATAAAGAATAAAACACACTAAAATATCTAGTTTAAAATACAAATAACTATTCATGAACGGCCTGGATATTTTTTCGGTATTTATTTGCCTCCTCTTCTGAGCTCGTTTTATTTTTGTTTACGCTTTTAACTAGCACAAATATCTATTTTATTTTTCGTCAAAATATACTTAACTATTTAAAAAAATACAACTTTTATAATTATTGTAATTTGTTTATATTTTGAAAATTAATGTTTTATTAAAAAACCTGTTTACAAGCTAATCCCGGAATTAACTCTACTTTTATGTAAATAAACATTACTTTTAATTTAATAATGCATTTCAAACTTTATTTTCCAATTTATTTTGAAAAATATTTTTGTATAATTTCTGATAATACATGTATTTTCTTTGTCAGATATTTTAATAAAAATGGCAGGAAAAAGCATCCCAAAGGGCCTAGCATACCGTGAAATTTTGATAAAAATCAAAAAAAATTATCAAAATTCCACGGTATAATGTTGAGTTGATCAGGGGTGATGTATCTTACAATCTTGGAGCCAGCCTTGCTAATGCATTGTTCTTGGATTTGAGGGCTATGGGCTTTCTTATCCCCAATATTGATATAAAAAGATATTTATATAGATAAATGTAAAATTGATAGAGCAAAGGTTAAAGTGAAAACAAATGCCCATCAATAGCATGATGAAAAGGTGGAAAATTTTTGTATTGGAGTTGATGGAAGAACTGACAAATACTCACTAATGTACAAGGGAATAGTGGAGAAAAGACCAAGAGACCAGAATGCCACTTGACTGTCACAAAGATGACATATGAAAGTGAATATCTGACACCTAAGGTTCTTCCTAATATTGGTGCAATTGTTGTGGTTCTTGCCGAGCAAGTGGCTGATGTTTTGCATGAATTCAACAGTGTGAGCACTATCAAGGCTATCCTTGTTGACAAACACTAATGCCAATTCAGGCTGTGAAGGTGGATTTGCTGCACCTCTAGAAAGAAAACAGAAATCTTCATACTACTGGTTGCTCCAAAATAAACTTCCGTTTAGAGCTCTTTTTAAACATGTAGATGGTACCACAAAAAAGCCCTGCCACATTCAATGGTCCACTTGGAAGATTACGTGCAAATGATTACCATAATTTATCCCAAATATCATTTTCAGCTGTTGACAGTCCTCTGGATTCTATTTTTAAAATTGAAAATGCAGATACCCTTACTTGTAACCAAAGACTCCTTTATGAATATACGGTGGGTATTTGTAGAGGTAAGGTGGACTCTAGATTTGCATCATGGAAAATTGGTCCATTAAACCAGGCAAGGTGGTTAACTTTAGGCATGAGTCTGATGTTCTTATGGACTCATGGTGCATACCCACGAAATATTTCAATCAAACTTCACAGTTTAATAAATTTTATTGTGAATGTGTATGCCATTTGCCGGTTCGAAAATAAAAGAAATAACAAGTTCCACAATCAGCAAATCTATATTTTCAATATGATCCAAAGGATTAGGAAGCAACCATATGAAATCCAACAGATCACATTGAAAAATATACAATACAATGCTTTCGCCTTATTGCCTGAAAATATCTTATTTTCAATGGTCAAATCTGATGAACTGGAAGTGAGGGAAGAAGCTATAAAAAGAATTTTGGCCATTAGGTTAGTAAATATTTATTCATATAAAATTGACTAAATTAGTTATACCGATTTATGGAATCATTTTAATGATTTTATCTAATTTCACTATAAATATTAAAGCAGTACAGAGTGCAATTTTTTTAAATTAAATCAAATTAATTTTTATATTCTTTCAAGAGTGGGAAGCAAACCAAGAAAAAATTTAAAAGAATCACAACTATCAATTTTAAAGCTATGCACTGGAGACAGTTAAAAGATATGTCATTAAGTGATGTTTGTGAACCACCACTCACAGAAGAATTTTCCGAAAATGAACTTCGGGAATAATTATTAAATGGTATGAAACTTGACTTGCCAGATTTGCCCTCACATTCTCAAGGCATGAAACGGGCAGTCAAGTTAACAACAGAAGCTTCCCAATCTGTGTATGGCTTTGAAGCAAGGCACCAGCACATAATAGCAAAAGCTTTGTGTCAGAAATTGAGACCATCAATTTCATCTGAGGGTTCATATATGGAGCTATTTGACTCTATATATTAAGCCCTATTAAACTATTCTTTTTTTTATATTTGTTTGTTTGTTTGTTTGTTGTATTTTCATTCAAAATAGAAGAAAAATCAATTTTTTAATGTATTCAACTAATACTGCTTAATTCATGAGGTAAAAAACAGCATTTCAAAATCGTCAGTGATAATGGGGGGAGGGATTTTCAGTTTGAAGTTTACTTATA